AAGCCGGGGACCTCACAATTCAACCCGAAGTTATCCCGACAGCATCAGCCGGTTTCGTTTTTTACGGGACCAACTGGACCCGAAGAACACATTAAAAAAAGGAGCACTTTCCAGTCGAAGATCAACAAGGTTGTTTGTGACTCTATTCTACCTCTGCTTAGTGTAAGGAACGGAACCACTACAAACAAAAAGAAGAGAAAAAAGGATCTAAAACAGGTAAAGGCCTCAAGGACTTACAAGACAAACTACCACCTACTTTAATCCTATTCCCTCAGATCTCTGCTGTTTAACCCCAACTAGTCTCTGGTAAACAGTGTCTAGGGTCTAACGTGACCCCCCAAAACCTATTATGGTTCGGCTTATAGCTAACTACCTACTTCCCCTCCTCGGGGTTCTTGAATTTTTTAAACGGGATCCTTACCCCCTTTCTCGGGGTTGACAACCGAGGGCGTCTTCAGAGTTCAGCTCCCAATGGTGGCGCCCGGCGTGGATTTGGTAAGCCAATGAAACTGCACTTTCTCGAGCAATTATTGGAGCCTGTTGGGGGATGTCGGGCTAGCGGTGCGAGGCATCTGGTGGGAAATGAGGGCATCTTCAGAGTTCAGCTCCCAGTGGTGGCGCTCTGGTAGGGCTCAGCAGCGGCGGATGCGTGTGCGAAAACTGGGTTGGCTTCCCAACCAATTCAATTACCTGTCGAATCTTTGGCATAAACTGGGTTCGGGCTCGCAGTGATTGAATGAATGAACAGCAGCAAGGCCTTTTTGTTACCACGTCAACGCCAACATGGACACACATGGGGCCTCGCTGCACTACTCTCGACATGGACAACAGACAGAAATCATGGTGGTGTATCTTTCCATATTCTAGGGGAAGATTCACTCTCGTTTTGCACATTTCAAGAGTGGTGCAGCGAGGCCCATGAACACGGAGATAGACTGGGCGGGACCGTGTGCTTGCAAGGTCTGCTGTTCGCAAAGAATGCAACCCAGTGGGTGAAGATTGGTGTAGGCGTTCTACTCACATCACATTACTTAGGGGCTCGTCACACAGGCTTTCGAAAAGAGCAAAATCAAGGTCGTGTCTTCGCCACACAGCCTTTCGAAACCAGCCCTTTCGAAAAAGTTTCGAAAGGTGTCAGACCTGTCTCTTATACACATCTAGATGTGTATAAGAGACAGGGCCGCCGTGATTGAATGAATGAACAGCAGCAAGGCCTTTTTGTTACCACGTCAACGCCAACATGGACACACATGGGGCCTCGCTGCACTACTCTCGACATGGACAACAGACAGAAATCATGGTGGTGTATCTTTCCATATTCTAGGGGAAGATTCACTCTCGTTTTGCACATTTCGAGAGTAGTGCAGCGAGGGCCTATGTATAGTACCTGTCTCTTATACACATCTAGATGTGTATAAGAGACAGTTCCAAGGGTCTGCCTCCACTACTCTCGACATACACAAAGGACAAAAATTATGGCGAAGTATCTTTCCATGTTCTAGGCAAAGATTCAGACTTTTGTTTTACACCCGTAGTGAGCAATGAGTCAGGCCCTAATGTGCATACATTGAAAGGCTTGGGTGTTTCGAAAGTCTGTGTGGCGAGGGGGGGGGTTCCTTTCGACGAGCAGACTTTCGAAAAAAGTCTGACACCTTTCGAAAAATGCCTTCGTTCGAAAGCCTGTGTGGCGGCGTCACTTCCGTCCCCCGGCCGTTGCAAGTGCGCAGGCATCGTAGGGTGCGTCCATCGTCGTCGACCTTCACACACGTCGACTGCGCCTTGGAACACATTTTCGTCTGCGGGACTGCATCCAGAGAAAAGGGGCCAACTTTGACGGACATCTTCGGCTTCTTCGTTGGGTGTGGAAGGACGACACACACGGTAGCGGAGCAACGGGTCCGTGTCCAGATTGCGACTATGGAGGTCGGCGGAGAGGGTGGACGTGCGGTGTTGACACCTTTTGAGCTGCAGGCCGTGGTGGCGTCCGTGTCTACCGTTGTTCTTCGATGTCAGCAGGAGAGGGCACTGGGACGACTGAAGGAGCCGCTGCGTGTGCAGACGGAGGACATTGATGCAAGCTTCAGACGATGGCCCCGACTACGTAGCGACCTTGGAGACTGTTGTTCAGCTGTGCTACGCGTTGGGTTGCGGAGCGATTTCTCGAGCAACGCCGAGGTGGTGGATGAAGCGCAGGACAGGGAGTAGGATAGGGAGCTGCCGGTCTGCCGTTGGTCAATTGTCGATCCATCCTGTCGCCGTTCTTGGAAGATCTCCTTTTGTGAGCCGTGACAGGGAGCAGGCCGACCAAACACGCGTGGAAGGAGACAACGATGAGAAGCAGCACGACGACGAGGAGTAGCAGAGGCAGCCTGTGCAGCAGGTCGGCCATGTAAGGGCCGTGGAAACGGCAGCAGCTCCACGTTAGTGGTCGACCGTCCAGCGAAGAATTCCGTCGACAGAAGAAAAAGCGAGGGAAGATCTGTGCTCTGACGTGCAAGGCGTGACGACAACCGACGAAAACGACAATTTTCCAAAATAAAACTGTCGTCGCTGAACACAACGCCGATGCGTACAAACATTCAAATTTCCGACCGTTGTCAACGATCGGCCAGCGCAGCAGTCCGCATGACACCGGTCGGGGACGTCCGATTAGACGGACGAAGGCCTCATGCCGACGGTGCCCGTTTGGAGCCGTTGGGGTGCCACCCAGACGGTGGAGGGCAGGGATGTTCGTGCTCCAGTTTGGCGGACCACGTCTGAACCACCCTCAAACTGAAACTGTGCGTCGACGCATGCCTTCGCCACTCTGAATTTCGCGCTTCCTTGTGCTCCGAGAGACCTTGGGAGGTCCCTTGGGGATTAGGAAAAATTGGCTGTAGCCACAAGGAAATTTCCTTGTGCTGTTTTCACATTTTTTTTCACGAATCGTCCCACGAGCACTTCCTTGTGGATTTCGGGTCCACAAGGAGTGTCTAACGAGGCCCTATGTCTGGTACTACAAACTCCTACAAAGTTGTACCCTAAAACTCCTGGTATACAACGGACATTCGGGCTAAGACAGTACGTGGCGGGCGCCAAGCTTGGCTAGGAAGGAAGCTATATGAGGCGGATGGGGATTGAACCCAAAGCCTCCTAAATGCCACTTGCGTGCCTTACCAACTGAGCTCATCTGCTTTCACTGGACTCTGACCTAGAGCCTGCATTTCGGGGTGTACCTTTTTTTTTTTTTTATATATTTATTTTAAACACATGCTCTCAAATTGGCACGAGCTGGGAACCGGGCCCACCATACCATGAGTACGTTCAAAAAAACCATCAAAAATTTCATAACAGTGAAACTAAGGATGTTCTGAGAAAGTCCAATTGAAGGAATTTAGACCTACTTCAAAGCTTTTTTGTAAGGAACTTCAGAGATAGTAAAAAACCAGAAGAAGACTCGGGAATCCACCAACAGTCCTCCTCACCCCACTCTGGCAAGACTTACTGCAGCAAAGCCATCATCTCTACTGCTGCTATGCCCTATTTCTGTCCTACCAGCTAGCCCCTTCACTAGCAGGACGCGTGATACCTTTCTCTCTCGATCCCTTTCCTTCCCGTTGCTCAGAAAAAGGTACGGGAGTAGACTGCAAAAGTCCTAAAAAAGCCCCCAATCCCGCAAAATCCCTAACAAAACCTTCCAAGGATCTCCAACACTATCGTATTCCCTGCCGAGCTTCCAGGCCTCACACCCCCCATCCTGCTGGGTTACAGGGCAACACAACTCACCCCAGCTCCGGCCAGCGTCGTCTCAGCAGCAACCCTTGGTTGTCCCGTGGGATGCCCCCCCAAAGCACCCCCAGATCTCTCTACCAGGCCTCATGCCCCTGCGTCAACAGGTTACAGGGCAACACCCCGGCACCGGCCAGCRTCGTTCTGGYGTCGAACAGCCTTAAGTCACCSAGTATTACAGCCTTGAGACTACCTAGAAGAGATTGCCAGGAAACCCCAGGATCCAGAAGACATTTTAAAGACAGAACAGACTACCCCCTTTTTTGAGAACTGGATTTAACTAAGTAAAAACTTGTAATTGACAACATAGAAAAAGACCTGGCGGGTCCTACAAATGCTCAGAAACCCTTGGAATCCCTAACGCCCCTTCCGAGGCCGTTCAACAGTCCTACTCCCTGCCGAGCTCTTCCAGGTCTCACACCCCACATCCTGCTAGGTTACAGGGTGACACAACTCACCCCAGCTCCGACCAGCGTCGTCCCAGCAGCAACCCTTAGCTGTTCCGTAGGATGCCCACCCCTAAGCATCTCCAGATCTCTCTACCAGGCCTCATGCTCCTGCATCAACAGGTCACAGGGTAACACCCCAGCTCCGGCCAGCGTCGTTCTGGGTGTACCAACTGAGCGAGACCCGAATTTTTACTAGTACCTCCGTACCCCGCCTGTACTCCGGTGGTAGGACGAGCTTTTGACCCGCGCGTCGGGCGGAAGGTGTTGAGCGGCGGAGCCCGGCGTAGATTTGGTAAGCCAATGGAACCGCACTTTGTCGAGCAATTATTGGAAGGAAAGGGAGTTCTCCCGCCTGTTGGGGGATGTCGGGCTGGCGGTGCGAGGCATCTGGCGGGGAACGAGGGCATCTTCAGAGTTCAGCTCCCACTGGTGGCGCTCTGGTGGGGCTCAGCAGCCGCGGATGCGTGTGCGAAAACTGGGTTGGCTTCCCAACCAATTCAATTACCTGTCGAATCTTTGGCATAACTGGGTTCGGGCTCGCCGTGATTGAATGAATGAACAGCAGCAAGGCCTTTTTGTTACCACGCCAACGCCAACATGGACACACATGGGGCCTCGCTCCACTACTCACCACATGCACAAAAGACAAAAAATTATGGCGGTGAATCTTTCCGTGTTCTATCCGAAGAATCATGCTTACTTCGCACATTTAGTGAGTAGTGCAGCGAGGCCTCCACTCGTAACGTCGGAGTTACGGCAAGATACGTTGTACACGACACGATGGCTAGAAAAGCCCGAGTGCCAGGGTCAGCTCAGTGAGGGCGGGGGATGGCGAGGCCCACCGATTGCCTAGCTCGCGTTGGGAAACGCAGGCGTGAGCCGGGCAGGCAGGCATAGGTGTGTTATGAGAGCCAGGCAGGCAAACGAACGCGAAGATTTTTCACTCGTAGGTGCCCATTCTCTCTCCCCCCCTTTTCGACCGCGCGTCCTGCCGTACCCCCCCCGAGCTCCTCCGCTGCCCCGCTTCCGCGCTCGCGCGCTCTCCGCTGTCGCACCCGGCGCTTTCTCCGCGCGTGTCAATCCTTGTAGCATCAAAGCTGCGAACAGGCAGAAAATGATAGCGCAGACTGCCACTGCCATTTCTGGAACCCTCTCTGCCGGTTGTGCTACATCAGGTGCTCTCGGCGTGCAGCAGGAGGGCCATCACAGGCCAGATGTCAACGGAGCTAGCGTGCCGTGCCTGCTAGGAGGAAGGAGCAACGGAGCAGGACAGGTAGTCGACGCCATAGTCACTTTGCTGATTGATTGATTGATTCTTGATTGATTCTTGATTGATTGATTAATTATTTTGATTGATTAGGGTATATCGGCATCCCGGTGACCTCTAGGTCATCTTCAACGTTGCCATGCCGTTTTTCTTGTTGAGAATAATGGTGATCAACCTTCCTTCCCTCCCTCCCTCGGTCCGTCCTCCCTCATCCCTCACTCCTTCCCTCCCTCCCTCTCTACGTCCCTCCTTACCTCCCTCTTTTCCGCCTTCTCGCCCCCCCCCCCCCCCCCCCCGTTCTCTGTCGGTTAATGTTTTGGGTCTGTCT